CGGTGTACTGATTCACAAAAGAGATAACAAAGTTTTCAGAAAAAAAGGCTGTCATAGTGTACATACTTCGTGTAGAACTGACGGAGAAATTGAGAACCTCTGAAAATTAAAAATGCAGTTTTAGAATTTTAAATTCGGCTTTCTTGAAAATCATGCGAACGTTCAGAATACCTATTTTCTTGAATAGAGGACTACTCAAGCCGTCAACTTTGAACTGATATATCTCAACTTATGTCAACGATTTCAAAAATTAGTCAGCAAATAAATAATTGGTGATATCATGATGAATAGTTTGATCATTGATAATTTTTTATATCTTACAGGAATCGAGAAAATTATTGAAAATGTAATGGTTCGGATGGGCTTTTGGAGAAGATACAGGTGCAAATTATATTCAGAAATTGAAGAATTTAAGAGTTTCAAAATATGCGAATTTCAAAAATGATGTATCATAGAAACTGGGACTTTCAGAAGCAAATAATTTTTGAATTTTACATAAAAGTTTAAATTTGAATATCTTGGAATTTGTAGGATTCCTTTCCTTTCCTACATAGACTTTATAGGCAATACAATTAAAAATCCTATTTTCATAACCTTCAAATCTTGAACATTCCATATTGTAGGAATACAGAATTCAAATTCTACGTACCGTATTTTCTGTAATAGAGGCCCAATGGCTTCTATTTTTCCACCTACTGAGGGAGGACTGATATTTAAAAAAAAATCAAATTGGAGGGTTTCCGGTTTTTAACTGAACTGGAATAGTTATAAAACGACAAGAATCTCAACGGAAATTACCAGAAAAATTAACAAAAAAAGGATGTCTGCACTGATCGAAAGAAAAATTCACAGCCAGGGTGGGCTTTAAATATAGGTGAGATTCTATGAGAGGAAATACGGTATTTGCAATTTTTTTAGTATTCGTGTCGTTTTTCAGCCCTGCTAGATGCTGCTCAATTTTTAGAACTTCCCTTCTCTGAAAACAAATTTCCCATATATTCCCATATATCTCCATATTCAACTTCTCCATATTCAAATTTTAGGTATTGCGAAATAGTGTTCAAAAGGCTAATGAATGTTTTGGTTTCAGCAAGAAGCTTCCGCGTGCAAGGACACTGAGAATATTAACATTTTGTCGGTGAATATTCCTTTGATGTGTTTTGACAGATGGTGCCACTCTGGAATGATTTGAACTTTAGAAACAGAAAACAAATATGAGATCAGTGGTCATTTAGGCTAATGGGAAAAAACATATTTGAATATCCTACAGTATCCTTCTGGTCTGGTTTACAGGATAAAGACATTGGGAAGTAAAATAATAGGTGATTGCTTCGGTCTCTTTGGAATTGCCAATAGCCTAGACTGGAAATTGTTTAATCTTTTGAGTCTTTTGAACCACCGTTTTGCAATTTGACTTTTGATAAACTGACGGTTTATATTCAATGGCCAGATTTTAGAATATTCTGAAAAGCTGGTAAAGAGTATCTTTCTACATTGCTTGTATTCCTCTCTAAGAGATTCTAATTTTTAAATCCAATCGGTTTCCTCATTTGTTATCTTGTCAACAACTCTGAAATCCGTTCCTCCCTCTGGAACGAGTCTGGTCATCCGAGCTAATAGGTGAAAAAGATAATTAGTTCAAAAAACCAAACAAATATTTTGACAGTTCCGTACCAGGTCGTACCTATGACAGACGTGCGTTCGAGCAAAACAATTCTGAATAGGTAATTCATTTTTGTTGTATTTTTGAATTGTTTTCGTACCTTGGCACCGAATGCCGCAAACGGGTACTGTAACTGTAAACAGAAATTATTGGAAATTTTGTTTGTCAGTGTTCTATTAGAAATTGTTATTTTTTCGTCCTAAAATATGTGGAACTTCAGAACACGCTTGAATTAACTTCTCTAGTTGTGAAGTTAATAATGTGTTATAATATGAATCATAAACTACGTTAACTTTGAGAGGAGTCTAGTTCTTAGAAGTTTAGATTCCCTAAAGTTTAAGAGTTCGGGGAGGTACGTTTTGTATAAAAATTCGGATTTTCAAAAATATGGGATTTAGGTCTTATGGGATATCATTATGCTCGGTTCAGAATTTAAAAACGAGGCAACTGTAGTTCCCGAGGGTTACACCCAAGATATTCAGAGAATCTCGGGAACGGATAGTTTGAAACTTATCAAAACTAATCTAGAAGTTCGTGTAGTTTATGATCTTATGGTTTATTTTCAAATTTAGAATCCCCGACAACTCAGATCCGCTGATCACAGTCATTTTTTAAATTCATCAGAACCTGAGTTTCCAGGAAAATTGACGTTTCCAACATTGGTATATTCCTGAAATTTTAAAAGTTCTCTCTGCACACTTCTGATCTCCCCGAAATCGAGAAAAATAGTCTTCAAGCCTTTCTAAATCCCTGAATTCACAGAGTCGATCTTCTTTCGCTTTGTTCTGGTTATCCTAGATTTATCTGAGAATCTTCTCCATTTTTCCACTTCATATTTCACATAATTAGCGCCAATATCGTGCCAACATCCCATTATTTTCCCATCTTTCTTCTCCCCAAAAAGGTCAGTGCATGTACACGTCTGTATAGCACAAATCGACACAACTATAGCTAATTTACATTAATCAAACAATAGCGATGCCAAAAAGCAGCAACACCATCGTCTCCCCTCCCTTACCGCCGCCCCCCCCCCCCCCCCATCATCTCTTTCTTTTGTTCCTCCTCGCCTAATGCTCACCGAACACACATTCTAAACCCAAAAACGCCTCTATTCTGGCGACGAGAACCACACTGATAACTCTTCCTCGTGCGACACCGCTCACCTCACTGCGTATGCTAACTTGTTGACCCGCGATACAGCTCGTTCAAAATCCGAACGGCGAGAGGGGCGGAGGACAAGGGCAAGGGTCCGCCCCCCCCCCCGTTTTCACTCTCATTCCGTTGCGCGCGCGCGAACATGGCAGAAAGGGACACCTCCTTTGTCATTTCACCTAAATATTCGTGCCCTCTCCTATTTATTTCGTCATCCTTCTACTAACTTTTTTGTTTCACTTGCTGCTCTCCGTGCTCTACCAGAACAGAGACTTGGACTGGATACAGGTAACAATTAGGGAAGGTTTGAGCGAACAAAAACGTGCAGATTACATCAGAAAACAATTTCTTTCTTTTTTTCGAATTTTAGTTTTTGTGAGAAATTGAAATCATAGTCGGACTGAATTCAGAGTAAAACAAAAAACAACATATGCGAAGTATTTCGTCATAACGTCATTTACTTCTTTTTGAAAATTAGAGTAGCCTGAAAAGCCTGAGAATCATACTTGTAATCCGGGCCTTTTTCCGGGCCTTCGCGGGCCCTGGCATAGTTTCTCTCAGAGCCAATATTTTCGGACCAATTAAATTTGATATGATAGAACTCGACGAGTATTACAAAGATGATACTATTTGGAAAACTATATCTTGTCTATGAACAGAGTTACAGACAAAATAGTACGAAAAAATGCAGGCCCGGCCCGGGCCTTCCGGGCCGTCCGGGAAAAGCCACTTGATGGCCTGTAACTCTGTTCATAGACAAGATATAGTTTTCCAAATAGTTGCATTTTGTAGAACTCGTCGAGTTCTATCATATCAAAATTAGGTGGTCCAAAAATTTTGNCTNTGAGA